CCCCCCACAAAATGTGTGCTATTATGCGTTGGATAATAGCCACACATTTTGACCCTTCTTACATATTTAAGTTTTAGTTAAGAAACGTCTGTAACTACTTCCTTTGCTCCATTGATTTTATTACTTCCTCTAATCCGTGTTTATTTATTTTTGACTTTTTAAAGTCCAAATTAATATATTTTGGCATCAAATTAAATAAAAGTAATATTAGATATTAATAAAAAAACAATTTTTTTAGATTTAATTTATAAGATGTTTTCAAAATACTGTTTTATCTAATTAATACTCCCTACTTCCCTAGAAGATGTTCCTTTTTCATTTTTTGTGTATTGCATAAAATACTTTTATTCCGCATCAAATGCCAAAAAAACTTTTAAATTTTTTTACCCACAATAAAAGAGAAATATGGTAAATTTTAGTCATTTTAGATGTGGGTAAAAATATTTTATGGAATGTGAAAAAAATGAAACAAGGATATCTTTTTTAGACGGAGGCAATGCACAATATATTTTATTTAATTATAAGTCAAAGGTTAAAAATGATTAATTGTAAAACGTCAAAGGTAGAGGAAACCAAGATAATGTTTTATTTTGAGAATAAAAACGAAACCTTTAGCGCCGACTACGACAATGTTTTGACAACTTCATCGTTTTGAACAGTCTATCTAACAACATCATTTAATTTTTACCGTTTTCAAAATTAACAATTAAAAAAATATGTAAAATGCCAACACTTAGGCGTGAAGCCCGGTCCTGAACTAGACAGAAAAAATAAGAAAATCAGAATCGGTGAAAGTTTACACGGGCACGGACCTCTATCTATATGAGTGTAGGGGACGGTAAGTGTAGTGTCTTGACAACAAATTTAATGGTTTGAAAACTCTGTCTATCTAATGACATTCTTTAGTTTTAACGTTTTCAAAATCAATGTGTACTACTAAAAAAATCATCTAAAATGCTTAACTCATTCAAAACGTTATCCTCATTCCTCAAACAAAGCCTAAGTTTTGTAATTCTTGTATTTAGTGGTATATAAATCCTCTGAATTTAATGTAGTAATTAACAACAAACTAAAATGACCACAAAATTGAGGACCCAAACAAGACCCTCAAATAAAGTAAAATCATATAAGAGGAATAGAAAAACTTTATTCAATTCATAAACTCAATCTTTTCCTCTTAATCATCTCCATCATCATCATCATCTTAAATAAGCTAAATAATTAATTAATTCCCATATGTATGTGACAAATTCCATTGGAAAAATTAGCTAATTAATTATCAAATTAAACAATTATATATAATTAGTCCTCAAACCCAATTTGTTTCCAAATGGCATTTCTAACCCTACTCAAATCTCTCCCCTTGAGAGTCCTCCCAATGCCTTCATGCACCGACATTGACGCCCCTCTCCTCCGCGCCAAGTACTCATGCGGCGGCACCACCGCCCCTCTCTCCCCGCCGCCGCTCTCCCGCCGGATCTCCGGCCACTCCGGCACGGAGACCGGCAACGATGCCGGCCTGTCGTCGGCCTTCGGCTTCTTCTTCTGAACGGCGACGACAGGCCGGCGCGAGCTCGGCATCGACGCGGACGGTCTTCGGGCCCCGCCCGGGCCGCCGCGACCGAAGTCTTCGCCGTTGTCCCAGACGACGTCGGACTCGTCGAACTCAAACTGCGGGCCCGCCGCCGCCGGAGACATCGTCTCCGGCGGGACTCCGAGGAAGAAAAAGCTCTTCTTTGCGGTGGCCATATTTATATACATGTAATGTGAGGTTTAGGTGGTAGAAACAATATTTGATTGAATTTGGTTCTTTGGAGTTTGGAGGGGTTTGATTGCTAATTGGGTGTGCTTTATATAGTAATTGTCCAAAGTGGATAAGCTTATCTTAACGTTTTCTTTAATTTAGTTTAATTTAATTTCTTACTCATGTCCGAGTAAGATTTTCCAATTTAACTATCGACCGATTAAATTTTATCCGTATTTTTATTTTTATTTTTCTAAGCTTAGTTTTTGCATTTTATTTTTTTCTCCTTTGGCTTTGCATAACTATGCATCATATAAACAATTTTATTTTTTCTTAGACTCTGTGAAAATCGAGTCAGGACATTTATTTTTTTAGACAAAGGGAGTGTTTTTAATCAACCAATATTTAAAATAACATTCTCAAGTTGCCTTTTATTTTATAGAGTTTTTTATGTGTTTTTTTAAAAAATATAAACAGCGTGAATTTAATTTTTAAAATTTAGCTTAATTAATATTTAAATTAATTAAATTGTAAATAGCTTCAAGTACAGCTATATCCAGAACTTTTATTTTGTACCCCTAGAACCATTTTTCCAAAAACTTTATCCATACTGAAAAACTCTTTTTACTTTATTTTGTTTTTGAGCATTAAAATACGGAGTATTACTTTCCTAAACAAATTTCCAACTATAATTTTTTTAAATTTAAAATCTTTTTTATATAAATTTAATAAAAGTTGAATTAGTAAAGTTCCTTTTTCAAATCCAATTCTCAATTTCTCATCTTTAGCTTATGGTGTTGTGATTAGACAGGTTGAAAGTATATGCGTGCATTTGGCATTATTTTTATTATTATTACGGAGTATTATTATTAACGCCGTATTTTATAGCTATACCGCCTTCCTAATTAGTACTCCCCTTTCCATAAAAGGGCCCACTTTCTATATTTAACTTTATCTTTAAAAAAAGGAATATCCGTGTTGAATTTAAGCAAAAGAATTTGTTCTCTATAAATCCTAAGTAAGATTCTTATTTCCATTTATTGTTATCTGGATGAGGTTATTTTTAATTTATAATAATGTTTTAAATTTGATGTAGTACTACAATTAAAAATTGATTTTACGGCGTACGAAATAAATGGTAACTTGAATGTTTTATTTTATGCTGATCGGTGAAAATGTTTTAAGAAAAAAATAAACCAAAATAGTTTTTTTATAGAAAAAGGTCAACTCATCATTTCAGTACAAATAATGTTTGCAAAAAAAGGTTAAATGACATATCATTCCACGGAATCACACATAGAACTAGTTTTTTTTTTCATTACAAAGTGCACATACAACATGATTTGTAAGGGGCTGTTTGTTTCAGTCTCTTAATGGTTCAGATGTCTGAATGGTTCAACACTTAATGGTTCAAACTGTTTGTTTCAGCCTCTTAATGGTTCAGATGTCTGAATGGTTCAGACATTTGCCTCTGAATGGTTAAGTATTATACAGAGTCTGAATGGTTAAGACCTCTTATCTGAATTGATCAGACATTTGCCTCTGAATAGTTAAGCAATATACTAGCTCTTAATGGTTCAGACCTCTTACTAGTTCAGCACTTAATGGTTCAGACCTCTTACTGGTTCAGCACTTACCTATTCAGAAGCTGCCAAACAGCCCCTAAATCTTTTAAAACAATTCGGGCTCAAACTATTAAAACGTATCACATCTTTTTAAATATCAGAAGCTGGTTCTTATCTAAACGACACTTGTCGGTCTATGTAAACCAATGTTTTATTCTTAATACTCCCTCCGTCCTATAATGATTTTCCTGGTTCGCAAAACGAAGAAAAATTCTAAGTTTTTTCAATCTATTTTATTTAAATATTAGTATAGAAATAAAAAATAAAACATACATATTTAAAAACTACACCAAAAGTTCAACAAAACAAGTGGTGACAAGAATATTTTATTTTATCATATAGGCCATGAAAAAACACAAATAAATATAAATTCCCGTGAAGTTGGAATAGTGCTCTGGGAAGATCATTATAGGACGAAGGGAGTATATGTTTCTTGAGCAATGTTAAGTTCACAAACAGAATATTCACAAACTTCACAAACTTACTGTTAAAGAGTATCCCACATCGGAACTTGAAGAGAAAATAAACCGGTATATAAGCCCTTGAGTTGAACTAACTAATAGATTGGATTCAATCTTTTAATGTGGTTCAACCCAAGTGTCTTATTGCCCAATCTAGTGATCCATACCCATCTTAAATTCTATCACTTACTATTTGTGGTTTAAAATTTTATTTTAAAATCATTTTAGACCATTTAATTTTTTTCATTGAAGTTTACAAATACGGAGTAATAAATTTGTGATGTTTGTGACCATTATATTTGTGAACCAAGCATTTCTCATGTTTATTTGATTCTTCCACTTTTGACTTAACGCAAGCTTTAAGAAAAAATATTCAAATACATATTTAATTTGTATTTGACACCCATTATATGCAATTATTCAAATTTGAATTGTCATATTTAAATACGAATTACAAAAAGAATCAAAATTATTTTGTTGGGTTTACCACTCTCAACCCACGAAAGGCCAAAACCGTCATTAATGAATGATTAAATACACAATGACAAAAGTATAGCACATCAGCACGTAGTGGTTAAAAAACTATTCCCTATAATGTCACCACTTCGTAGTTAAAAAGAAGCCAAAACGAATACTCTATTATTTACCCATTTATCCTACTTTTTCATAATGTGCGTGCGTGGCCGATTACTTGCTTTTAACTTTACTGTAGAATATTTTCACTTTACGGTAAATAAAAAACAACCATGCTCAAATTCAATGCCCTTTTCACCGGTAATAGTTATGATCGAGTGTAATAATTACTTTTCACCTACAATACTTTTTCATTGGGACGACTTTTTTTCATCAACCATTTGTAAGACTAGCATTGTGGATGAAAAGTGAGTATGTTGATGCACATTATGATTTTTTTAAATTTTGATTTCATTTTAATTAATAATTTTGATACATCAAATTTAATTATTATAACATTTATTTGTATAAAATTATGTTTATTAATTATCAAAATATTAAAAAAATTGACTGCTATAGTTAAAACGAGAGAAGATTTTTTTGGGATGAAAGTTGTACTTTTTCTATCTCAAATTAATCTTCTATTCTCAGTTATTAATATGATATCTCCATAACTAATGACTGAATGCTTTTTTATTGACCTTTTGATAAAATAAATATTTTTGTCATCTCTTATCTTATACTTCATCCGTCCAACAAAACCTTTCTTCTTTCTTTTCTTATTCGTCCAAAAAAAAAATTTCATTTCTATTAAAAAATTATTTCTACCCCTATTAATTCTTAACCTACCTATCACATCCAAGGATATTTTTAGAAAGTCAACACCAAAATATATTCCTTTTAAATCTCTTAAAAACAAAGCAAGAAATATTTTATGAGACGAGAGAGTAAACCATTTAATCTTGCTTTGACTGTGTAATTTATAATGTTTGTTTTTATATTAATTTGTCTATAAAATTACTTTAAAAGAGATGTAAGTAATTTTTTTTCTAGAAAAGCATTTTTAAAAGACAAAAAAAAAGTTTCTTGAAAGAGGTGGAAAAGATATGCTTCCATCGTGGTAGATTTGGAAAATCGTAGGTTGACAAAAGAAAAGATTATATGAAATATCATATCAATATGTCATTTCATGTAATCATAAACACTCCTCCTAATCTTTGTTCTCTTTAAGTTGTTGGAGTCATGAAATTTAATTAAGAACGTGCGTCATCACATCTACTATTCTCTACCCCCCCCCCCAAATTAAATTTCTCCTCAAATTGATTTTGGTTTTTTAATTTCACGGAATTTAAGAAGCACTAAAAGATACTTCCTCCATCCGGATATAATCTTCCCACTCTACTATTTTTTCCGTCCGAAATTAATCTTCTCATTCTACGTTTTCATTCTCAATCTTCCAAAAATACCCTTCCTTTCCTCCCCTTTCTTCTCTCCTTACCCCTCTCTCTCTCTCTCTCTCTCTCTCTCTCTCCTTTTTCTTTTCGGATCTCCTGGTTTTGTTCTTCTTCTTCTTCATTTCTTCTTCCACTCCCTTTTCTTTTCTCTTTCTTTCTCTCTCTTCCCCCATCCACTTCGTCTTCTTCTTCTTCATCTCATGCGCCGAAAATAGTAACCAATAAGTCTACTACCATAGAAGCTGCAGGGTTATTGCTTGTTCTTTATACGACTCCGACTCACTTCCTAGATCAGAGGTCCTGCGTAAATTACCTGCACTTGACACTCATATGTAGAAACTTAAATAGTTAAAGGGAAAAGCTGCTGCACGCAGAGATAGATAGTGGCATTAATTATAAGGCAGGCAGGAATTCAGACCACCCATAGGGTAGCAAAAGCTTCTTCAAGAGCCCTTTTCCTGCTTATTTCAACAGTCCACCCGCCAGCCCTTGCAGCTCTTTCGGTTCGTTCTCTCAGTTTTTCATCATCTTCTTCAATCTCAAACCCGAACATGTCATGAGTCGACCCAATTGGGACAGGCTGCTGGGTTGGGCGCGGTTGGCCTATAGCAATTGCCGGAGCATATTGTCCCTGTTGCACCACAGTACTAGGCCCAGCTTCAGAACTTCTTTGGGCTGCTGCCTGTGCAAATGAAGATGATGAAAATCAAGGCAACAAAAATCATCCCGGTTATGTTCTCTTTTCAAAATAAGTCGAATAATTTAGAGTCTCCATCTCTAAGCATCTTGTGCCAATAAATGTTTGTTGGATGCAAATATATAAAGTAAATGCAGAGATTTTTCTTTCAAATTGTAACACTTACGCGAATGAACTTTTTTAAAAACAATGGTGTGTATGTATATATATCAACACATCAGAGTCATGAACAAGATTTGTTTTAATCATTGAACTCTGATCCTGAAAGCCGTGCTCTTTAGCATCTTTATCAATGATGGGGCCAGTATGTGTATTCGGCGGTTCAATTATAAATTTCTCACAGGGCCGTTTGTAAGCAATTTTCTCTAAGAAACTAAGTGTTATTTAATCTCGAGAACAGTGTGTTCTTTAATTATAAATGATGTATGCACACATGTATAATTAGCTCTTAAAGTATTTCCTTTGTAAAATTTATGTTTTCCTCCCTTCTCTATGCTAACTGCTACCACATCACAATAATATGCCCATTATCCTTGCTGATGGCTCAAAAAGACAAGCCATCAGCAAGTGCCCTATAACTCTCACCTCCACTTCTTTTACTATTTGAAACTGGAGTTTTTGGGAGATGACATGAGCAAGAACCGAGTGTCATGGTCTTTACTACGTCTAACTGCTATCATCCATAATATGCATCACACAAAGTTTTTTAAAGTGCGATGTGCAAAGGTGCTCTTGCGCCATCGATGCATGCGCATCACGAACACAATGCGCTTACAAGAACTCAAGACTACCAGAAAAAATGATTTTAAAAAAACAGCAATTATACTGAATAAACAGCTGAGTGCTGACTTGCTGCAAGCCTGCAAATCTGTATTGTAGATGAAAAAAACGTTTGGAAAAAAAAAGATCAAAACCTACTAGGAAAAAACTCCAAGAAGAACCAAAAATACCCCCTGGTAAAAGGATGCAACCAGACTCCAGATAAGCCTACCAGCTGCGTCCAAGGAACTTGTGTCGGTGCGTCTGTGCGTGCAAGACACCAACGCCCCTCTCAGAGTTGAAGCAGAGAGACCAGAGAAGAAGTAGGGAGTCAGGAGGTTGCCAGCAACTCGTAAGGTCATAGGGCACAAAAGAGAAATAGGCGGAAGAGTCGGGCCAAAAAGTGGAGTGTAAACCTATTCTTAAACCAAATTTAGTTTAAAAGGACTAATTGTTCGCAGTGCACGCCTCATAGCGCAACAGATCGCATTGCATAATGCGATGATGGCATGATGCGCTGTCATGCACGCGGCTCAAGAACGTTGCCCGCATCACCTATCCTGATGCACAGGCACTTTCGCCTTGTGGGCATCGCCCTTCAAGCACGCTTTTCACAACTATGGAATCACATCCTCTTATCAACATTTGGGTCATCCCCATCTCAATATTCTGCATCTATGCTCCAGCTATTTGAACAAACGAAAACTCTCTAGCAAGGTAGTCAAACTCAAGATTCTATGTACGATCAATACCCGGAGTAAAGATCTTGACACAGATTGTAAGATCCCACACACACCGAGTATATATAACACATACTCCCTCCGTCCAATTTATTCTTCCCATTTGGAAGAACGTACAAAATCCCATAACTTTTAACATGATTTTATTTATAAATTAGTATAGAAATAAAAAGTATAAACTACAATGTTCAAAACTAAATCAAAAGTCCTAAAAACAAGACGTGACAAAAAATGTTTTATTTTATGAAATGATCAATGAAAACATGCATTCAAAGATAAGTTAGTGAGAGAACGTAATAGTAAGTGGGAACATTAATTTGGGATGAAGGGAGTATGTATTAATTTAGTGATAAATAACTAGGATTGGAAATAGAAGTAGAAGCACATGTATTCGATAAGTCATTTCATATCACAAGTGGTTTAGAAAACCCATGCAATTTTTGATTGCTTCTTGGATTTCCGATTGACTCTTGGATTTCTTGCATGCAATATAGTATGAGTGATCGGAAACCTACGAGCCGCTAACAACAACCCAGTCGAATCCTACAAGAGTAGGGTATGGGGTGTGTGCACAAAGACCTTAGTACGTTACCCCTACTCGAGAGTTGGGAGGCAATTTCCAAGTGACTCTTGACTCAAGTAACACAGCGAGCACAAGATAACAGAAGACACATAGAGCAGAGAAAACACATAGCACAAAAAGGAAAAGAGCAAACTAATATTAACGAATGAAAGACAAAGCAAGCAGAAAGCACCAAGCATAAAGGCACACAGCAACAAGTGCACAAACTAATATCAATCCTAAAACACCTACCCAACTACCCTAATCCTAGCTCTCTAAACGTTCCTAAGAGCCACTGTAATTTCTAATCGTTTCTTGGATATCCCGCAGGCGATTATCATTTCTCGGTTGCTAACTACTCTAGTTTGTGCAATCCGCTACAATTCCAGCGCTCCTATGGTCCGACACATCGATCCTTTGCTGTCTCTTAAAGATCCGATCTTATACGTGATTTAGATCGCAATCCCTTGGGCGATATGTTGAATTACACAATTATACGCGTCAACTTGTGAGCTTAACTACTATGTGTATAATCGATGTACGACGTAAAAATCGCAAATTGTAAGATTGTGACACGGATACACACACAGGTGTGTGTGTGTGAAAGAACACATGTTTGAACAAAAGAAAACATAGAATCCAGAGTAGAAGAAGCAGCAGCTCTTGCCAGCACTACGATTTGTATGCTTCGTTCTAATTTCCATCTTATTTGCAATTTGGATACAATTCCCTGTGTGATGTGTAAAATTGCACGCTCCTACTAGTGAACTCACGAGTTTGACTATCTTGCTATCTAGGCTTAGCAGACTGGCATATATGGAGGTGGCATAGATGTTTTATGGCCTCTAGGAACTTAATTTACCAATGAAACAAACAAATCAATGTTTTAGAATGCATTAACTAACAAAATGAAGAAAATATTTCACAATACATGGTATTAGTTCAACTTACTGTATCACCATCAGGCCGGAAAGGTCCCTTACTTAAGGCTGCTGCCAACTCTTCTGCCTAATTTACCAAAAACATAAATGAGTACTAGAAGGGGCACCACAACACGCATGCATTTGAACAGCAGGCACTGAATGTACCTTACGAGCTTGAGAAATCATGATTTGTTCTGCATTTTCTTTTTGGTATTGAGCAATCTTTGCCTCAATAGCAGGGACATTAATTCCTTCAATCAACTCACATACTGCATGTAGGAGGATACTGTTACACACTTTAAGACTTTCAATCTAGTCACTAGAATACATAAACTTACTCATATTTTCTACTTCTTCCAGATAATCATTGTAATCCCGTAATGATGGAAAATCCTCTTCTCTTTTATTATATCTGCATAGTTTAATAAGCATATAGTGTAACAAAGTCATCTACTCATCTGACATGGAAAATTATGAAACCACTAACAACTTGGACTTCTTTTATCCCCCACCCCACCCACTTCTAAATTTTCTGCAATGGTGTTTCCTACCAATTTCTTATTAGATAATGTGCACAGAGTATCCAAGCTACCTGGTTAGATAATGTACCTATTTGGAAAAGATTAATCAAAGAAATCCATGCTTCAACGGTTTTTAAGAATCAACCTTTAGATATTGGGAAAATATAATGGATTATAGATAGTACAAAAAGGTTTGGCTGATAAAAGCTAATCATCTGTTTACATAATCACAACTTATAGCTAACACTGGACAATATCATCAAGCATATCAAACATCATGTGTACTTCTTGCAAAATGAAGGTACCAACACTTTATAGCAAAGTAGAAAACCAAATACAGAATTGAACAATCATAGAGATATGTGGGCAAATCATGTACCTAATAATGACTTACTAAAGCTAAAAATGTAAAGGAGTCATAGAGAAGGCAGAGAAATTATTTGCATCCAAAGCGTGTTTTATCAGGTGTTAACCTGTTACTAATTGTGCCACAAATCCCACAATGATGTATGCCTCCAGCACTTCAATGTATGATAGCAAGGCTAAGATGCCAGTAAGCACGTAGATAAAAAAACAATCATTTACAAAACTGAGTTTTTCAGGGATCTACACATGAAATTTAAAAAATAGATACTAGATACAGAGTACTCTAATAAATTTTATTCACTCTAGACTCAACTGTATACTTGTAAAGAACAGTGTGACATCCGAATATAGAGAAACATTTCTTAGATAAATGATCAACGGATGGGTACATGCTTGCATCATTTCAATTATAAATATAGACACATGCATACTGAGGATTAAGGCTATAGGAGAAGAAAACATACATATTGCCGATGCGCTTCCGTATGGCCATTTCTTTGGTGAATGGATTGCCTCCCGAAGTGCCCACCATTGTTGGGCTTTGCTTGGACTTGACTCGTTACGGTGAACTTTCAAAATTGTAGGTATGTAGTTCGCCCCAATATGATCCAAACACAAATCCTAGGTCTCCTGAAGTGTTTCCAACTGGAACAGAGTAACAGACTGCTGAATGGGTAGTAATCTAATTAGTTCATGCCAAAAAGCACAAGGGATATCGCTAAGAAAAGATGGATGAAGAGATATGCCTATAGGGTTGGCCCGAAACATAAAAGAACCAGTACAAAGACAAAAATTTGATCCCTATTGACTATTGTATCTCATAAATGCAAATTTTAAAGAAGTTTCATAGTAATTATTGAATTTGTTACAATGAAGGAGAAACATCACTACAAGTTTACATAAAAAGAGACATCCTCTTTGCATATTTTGATTCAAAATCTTCAATCAAACTGCCCATTTTCACTTCTTCCAAACTCTCACATTCAAACAATATCAACTATCAAGGCCAATCTGTTTACTAAAATGTCTTCATGGCACGCCTTCATTTACTAAAACACATTTTACAACCCCTTTTCTAAAAGTCTTGCAACAAAAACAAAACACTTTGTCTAGCTCTTTAGAATAGATGAGCCACTCGCGATCACATTTTCCGCATTTTGCAATTCTCTCTTGTAATTAGTTGAAGAAAATCTGCACCCAAATTTATCCTTAAGACCATATACTAGTGAAAAATATCTTTTTGGGCCATTTCTTACCAAACTATCAATCAATCAAGAATCGAGAGCAAGCCAACTTCTTGGATGATATAGGTTTATTAAATCAAATTTGTTGGTATTCTCGACATTTCTCGTTGTGGAAGAGTGAATCCATTTCAATAATTTCAGCATTAACATCTTCAAATTGATCAGCGTTATCTAAACCTTCAAGAATGTTGACTTCACACACATCTTCTAAAACAACATCATTTTCACTCAGGATCAAGTTTTTGTTCGCTCTCATTGGATTCCATTAAAATAAATTTTTCCAGTGCTCCTCTATGGGATTGTGTAAGTTCAGTCTCTTTTTCTTTTTAGGTTTATCATAGCCTGATACCTATTTCCTAATAACCATTCTAAAGTATAGTACTCCGTAATTCTATATAAAAACATTATGAGAAACAAAGAGTAATTTTTTTTAATAAATAATAATAACCATTTGAAGCAATTAGCATTAAGCATTTGAACCTATTAGCATTAACTTCTATTTATGAGGAAAAAATAAAAATAAAAAAAACTGATTTTTTATCAAATCACAATTCATTAATCATTCTAAGTAAACATTAAACATTAAATTTCATAGAATAAGAAATTGGACAATTAAAATTAAAATTAAAAAGACAAATAAAATTAGGGATTTATTCATTAAAACCAAAAAATCATACCAGAACAGCCTGCTGGACGGCGCCGGCGCGGAGGGACGAGGGCGGCCGCGTCGCGGTCAGGCCGGCTGCCGGTGGCAGTGAAGATGAGGCGACCAGTCTTCCCCTGTCTTCAGTCTTGGCGTCTTTAGAAGAATTTATGGAAAAGGGCAGAAAAAGGTTGGAATTTACGAGAATGCCCTCCTAGATTTAACACAGATTCGCGTGAGGCGTGTCTGCTCTACTTGCGTGAAATGAGGGAAAATGACAGAGAGGCCCTTCCAACCAAGAAACAAAACGTCACTGTTTATGACCGTTACTTCAAAAATTAAACGAAAATATTAAAATGAACGACCAGTCGTTAGGTTCCCTTCGAAGCGTCACGATGATTTTCGGAAAGGCCAAACGGCGTCGTTTGAAGAGCCAACCCCTCCTTAATCCCCCAACCAGTCTTCGGAAACGATACGCCTTCATCAATCGAAACTCTTCTGCTCTTCGTTCTCCATTGCATATCGTCGTTGGATACCTTCAAGAACTACCACACATCTGTTTGCCATGGAGAACACCGGAGCAAGTTGCGGATTCCAGTACAAGGGAAGAAGAACTCTCACCCAAACACGAAGGGAGGAGATGGAGAATGAAAACCAGGTATTTTCAAATAATCCTCACTTAAAATTAACTAATTTTGGTTTTATTTTGAACTGTTTGGGATTGGTGTCAGTCCATCTGTGGAGGGTGAATCGTTCCCAGATGCTTCGGAAATTGAGGTGCATTGCATGTACACTAAAATATAACATTTGAAATTTATTTTGTTTGTTTTTGAAATATTCGGAAACAGAACAAGTTATTCCACCATGGAAATAATCAATATAATGTTACAGTAATTGGTTACAGTCGAATGCAGTCGAACTGTTTGATTAGTTCTTGATTTTAATTCTAGGTTCCAGCGTTGGATTGCACCATTGATATTGATAAAATACCTGGAATGAAGTTAACCCTGAAATCTTCTTTGGGGGAGTTCCAGAATCTGATGAGCGAATGACTTGGAGATCATCCAGAAGTCCTTGATCTGTTTAGGGAGAACATCCCTTTTTCTCATTTTTTGGATGTTGAGTGTATTCCTCCTCCTCTGTTCCTATGGCAACTCATTGCGAGAGAAGCCAAAATAAAGAGGAAAGGAGAGATGTGGTTTGTTGTCAAAGGAGTTCTTGTCACGTACTCCTTGAGGGAGTTTTCACTCATAAGCGGCCTCAACTGCTCTCACCTTAACGCCGGCTTTGAAAATTCTAAGGAATTAACCTCTGCAAAGAATGATTTCATTCGAGCTCACTTTCCTTCTGCAAAGAAGGGAAAGAAATTTGCAACAGTCACATACAAGATGGTTGTGCAGCGTTTCTTGGACATTTGTAAAGGCTTGGACATGGAAAAGAAGAAAGAAGGCCAGGAAATGGATGTTGTGAAAATGGCAACACTATTGTTTGTTGTGGTTGTTCTCTTGGTCCTGTTAATCGCGACAAGTCTGCAATTCCAGATTGGATTCTGGGCATGATTGCACAGTGGACAGCAGTTTTAGGTTTCGCATGGGAACCTGGGCATTTATGGAGTCCTTGGGGTCATTAAGGAAAGACCTAGCTGCCAAGGCCAAATCAATTGGAAGAAGGGCCTCATCAACCATGTACTATACTGGTTTCTTGCTTCCCATTGGGGTAAGGATTTTTTCAATTATAATATTTCTTATAATTTTTATTGAAATGTGATCTCATTGAACTTTCAATATGAAAAGATCCTTTGTCTGGAGAGTTGCTTGGGGACTGGAACAAATATTATAACAAGAAGCCCACAGACATCCCCAGCTAGGCCAGCCTTTGGGGTGAGATTCCAATAAGAAGAAAATCACCCACACAGAAATGGATGCTTACGTTGGGGACGTGCAGGTATATACATATTATTGGTCAATAAAGATTAAAAATTTAAGGAATTTCAAAAATAAAGTGTCATTGTTTTGGTTGCAGGCTCTAGAGAGCATTCTTGTTCCCGACAAGTTTGAGGCTACTGCAGAGTGGTATTTGAACTTCCTAAAAGAGGGTGCGATCCATCCTCGACAAGTGCAAGGATCTCATGCTACACGTGGTCGTCCTTCATCGGTGTTGGAGGAAGTCAAACCCAAACATTACTCATTTTACCCCTTTTAGACTCTTATTGACCAGCTACATTACGTCCCGAACCTAAGACTTTTTTATAAGGGTAAGGGAAGAGAGTATATAAGAGAGAGTGCAGTAGAGAGCACATGGAAACATGGACAACTGTTGCTACTCCATCTGCTGCAAAATCAAAAATTTGCCATACCCCTCATTCCCTCAAAGCTTCCCCACCTCATTCATGTTTTTGGTACATATTTTTGATATGATAGATGGACGTTGGCATTAAGTTTAAAATTAATATATTTATATCATTAAAAAAATAGCTCTAAATCAACTAATATATAGTTTATTTGTTAATTACGGAGTACTAAGTTTAATACATTTATAGTTTCTCTCATCCTGTAGTTGGGAATGTCCAAGATAGATCTTCTAATTTGACTCTGTTATGGAAAAACAAGTCCAGAAAGAGGACTCTTTATGGGACACAATAAGGATTAGTCCTTTTTTTATTTATAAAAGTAACCAGCCAGAATAAAATTTACAAAGAATCAGTCCACATATTTGACATTGAGAGCACACAGTTTCAAAGGGTTCTCCTTGAACAGTCCATTTGAACTTAGGACAGGCAAATTTAAAGCTCAGTTCAGTTCCATTAGCCACACATTGAGTGGCTCAGTCTCTACATAATTCAGATTCAAATCCTTCACAATTTCTAATGATAAGTCATGGAGCAAATCAAGCAAACAATAAGAACAATCAAGGATTGGAACATGAAAAAATACTTTGCATCACAAATACTAACTACTCTCCTAATAATTCCTTTTAATTGAGATGATGTGAATCTCTCTTGTAATGGAAAATAGAAGAAAAAAAACCTGGGATGAGATCCGACCTAGGGACGGGAAAGACAGGTCGTCGGCAGAGGGACGGTTCCGAGAAAGACAACGCCGGAGATCGTCGGCAGCGGGCGGCTTCTGATTCCGGCAAAGAGAACGCTGGAGATGGAGACGATGGAGGGAGACGGCGATGCAGAAACGAGGAGATGTTGTAGACGGCGCTAGGGGATGCTGTTAACGGACGTGAGAAACGGTGGATCGAAAGAAATAAAAATTCAATTAGGCCAAGTTTGGTAAATGGAATTAGGATTGGGGACTTCAATTTCAATTCTGGTGTTTGGTAGCACAAAAATTATGTTGATTTGGAATTGATAGTGCAAAAAATGAATTGAAATTGACAGAATTCAATTCTATGAAATTAAATCCCATGGAATTACAATTCCAATTCAATTCTAATTCCACCAATTCCTTATACCAAACGGACCCTTATAGATTTGTGGAGTTTGATTTTTTCGTCAAACTATAATATTCTTTGATTATGAATTAAATATATTTTAAAATAATTAAATATTTTAAAATTTAGAAATTTTAAAACTATATTTTGAAACATACCCAATTTTACTAAATTTACTGGCTCTTCAAAAATTTTTTTTACTAAATTTACAATATAACTAAATATAATTTCTTATTTATTTCATGGTAAAAAAATGTCACAGTTTGATCAAAAAAATCAGAGTGTAGCAATATTTTAAGGAGGGATGGAGTATTTCATAAATAAGAAATACGTTACAGAAGACTACTCGGAGTACTTTGTAGTTATAATAGAAAAAAATTGTGACATTTATTCCATTAGTAATTTAAAAAAAATGTCGCATTTACTCTGTAACAATCAAAAAAATAAAACATAGTCCAAAAATTTATGTTTTGAGTTCGGGTTGAATTATGTTTAGAGTCATTAAAATTTTGAGGTTGGGTCGGATTATGTTTTGAGTCATTAAAAATTCACGTGATTTGAATGACTTTCGATTCACGTGATTTCAAATCGCTTAACTTTTAATCAAGTCTTTCCTATAAAGACGAATAATATTCACAAAATAAATTATTACAAAATTTGTCCATTCAAAGGAGGTTTACATCGGTTAATGTCCTATTGGATCATAAGATGATGGATCATTGTAGTTCCCCCAAAGTTAGCAGAAATTATACCAAACAAAAATTGTTTCAACCAGTTTTTGACTCGAAACTTTATCAGAAAATACTGATTTTTAAGCAAAAATTTCATGGACCAATCTTAAAAACTACGGAGTACCTGTTAAAACTAGATCAACCCCGACCGAACTCAAACCCAACAAAATATAAGTGGAAGCATGAATTCAAATTTTCAAAAAATAAATGCCATAACTCATTGGGTCACCCCAAACACGAAGTAACCTAAACACAAACCCGACCTGACTGCAATGTTTGTCAACTCTAGATGAAATCAATCAAGACTTAAAAGATTAGCACATAAGAACTATATAATTTTCTAGTTTAATGGGAAGGAGGAGCAATGTTCAAACGAATAAAACCTGGCAAACTAACCTAAAATGGAGACTCAAAGAAAGAGCAGAAAAAGAAATGAAAAAAAAAAAAAAAAGATCACTCTGTACAGAAGAAAGGGGATGAGATGATGAGGTTATCGAGGCATGTTCGTTTCCGAACTGCACGTTTACATGGCTTGCGGTTTCTCCACAACAATCCGAGAAGAACGTTTTTATTATTGTTACTATTGTTATTTTCCCACTCCCTCGGCCGCGGTGGGCCCACTTCCACCACGTCGGTGGCGTTGGATTTTCCAACCTTCCTTCTCGCTTCTGTGGGCCGAGGGGATGGCGTTTGGGGCTCCTTTGGTTTTCCAACACCACACCTGTTTTCAAGTTTGAAAGAATCAAATCAAACACTCATTTGCAGCTGGCAAACAAACTTTGATCATCAATCAAATAAAAATATATTATATCGCACTGGTTCCTATGACATTGGCACCGAATGACGTAGGATGCCCGAGCCTCCTACGGGACTCCGTTGTTAAAATTGATGGTTCTAACCCCCATTACCCCCCCCCCCCCACCCCTTTTCCTATTGGTGAAGGGGAAGAGGGTTGGGGGTGCACGGCGTTGGGGGGGGGTAAGAAGTAAGAACTATTAATTTTACCAACGGAGCCCCGTAGGAGGCTTGAGTCATCATATGACATTCAACGCCAATGTCACATGAACAGTGGTGATATTAAATTGAGCATTAACACAAGAACTCCCTTCTTCTGACATTGGGAGTTCATGTCGTAATATGACATTGGCTCTAATTGGACACCTACGGTGCTCCGTTTATAAAATTGACAGTTCTTACCCCCGATAAACCCCCCCACCCCGGGGTTTACTAAAATTTTGCTAAAACTTAGTGCTACAATATAACGCGTAGAAATAAATTACGAATTATAAATCACGCGACAATTCATGCATTTTTTTACCCGTCTTCGATGGATGGTATGGATGCATGAGCAGCAGAAGCATCTTCGGATTCGACACCACAGGCTGGGCATATGTAGATCTTTGGGAGAGAAGACAACTGAATGCAATCAAAGTGATACCATTCGTCACATTTGTCGCAAGCAATCATTGCCCTCTCATCATATGGTCTCCGACAGATGCAGTAGAGCAAACACCTATCCCTCAGTAACTGCATTATTTACCCGAAAACAAGATGATAGAGTGGTGAGGTAAGTATTTTTATACATCAATATGATGAAGTGTGGCAAATGCGCTCTTACTTTGAGTTCATTCTCACAATTCACGGCCAGATTCTCGCCCTTGGAGATCAGGTTGAAGACCTTATCCAATCCAAGCGCACCGCCATCTGCAGCAACCTACCAAGAGAAAGCAGAAATTCGCAGCCAGTGTTTGGTTGGGTTGTCAGCTTCATTGCCGATGGGGCTAAAAGAGTCTTTTTTTACAATGTTTTAGCTTTGAGTAAATAAAGGATTCAATAAAAAATGGCACATTAAAATTAAACTTCTCATGCTTCTTACTTTCAATGATGTATACCTCTATAGATACAAATATATTTTGCTGCACAAAACCTACAAAAATATTCGCTTCGTGCCAAAAGGAAGATTCATGTTCCAGGCACTTCTTTTCCCATAAAAAAGTCCAGTTTAATCAATTGAAGGTGATTTCTCAATTATTTTGCCAAAAAAAAGTGCCCGACACAAATTACTTGACATAACAATTTTGTTTTTTGAAGGATGACATCACACTATTTTTTTCAAAATTAAGCAATATATGTGCTTGAACAGAAAGCCTTGGAGCATAAATTTACCTTCTTTGCAGTGTCGGCCCAATCCATTCCAATATCATGTGCTTCTGTCAGTCTCTGCCTTAAGTAATCTTTGGAAGAAACACCTATAGATATTCCCTGGAGTATATAAATATAGGTTGATCATTACATGTTGAAAGCAATGTGTCTCTTTCTTGAGGAAAAAAAAGATGTAATAAAGTATTATGAAAAACCTTCTTTAAGTGTTGCCGGATGTGTTGAGCAGTGGGCTTTTGAGGACCATCCATTAGCTTCAGAGCTCCAACTCTCCATGAATTTTTTGCTAATGCCAACTCCAGTTTGCAGTTGGTTTCAGAATCATCAATACCGGCCACATATACTGCCTGCAAGAATTAAGTTTTAGCCTATCTTTTATTTTCCTTCAAATTTACCTCAATGTTGTCTTTCCCTAGTATTTTCCGGGTCTAAAGGGAACCTGAGAAATTTAAAATAAATACAACCTCCGTCCCAAAATAAAAGACAAAAGTTTGATTTGCGATGGTTGGCTGGATTTATTTTCAATGTGTTTATATATTTATAAAAGACGAAGGCCTATTTATGTTCAAAAACTAGACCAAAAACATCTACAAAACAAGAGGTGAGATGATTATATTATTTGGTCAAGTAATCGATGAAAATATGTAAAGAAAGAAGATATAGTTTGCTGGTGTGCACTTGTGCTTAGTAATTGTGTCCCATAAGGCTCTGGTCTGATTGTAGTGTAATGCAAAGCCATTGCTGATCTGATTCCAATAAGAATAAGTAATAACTAGAAAAAATAAGCTGATGAGAACGGGGCCTAAATTTGGGATGGGGGGAGTAAATGAAAGCAACCACTAGCACATGAATTTCACGAGGAATGCCACAGAGAGTGGATAGAAGGAGAACCATGTGTCCATTTGAAACTTGGAAAATACTATGGAAAAATTGGGAAAAAATAAATGAATTTGGAAAATAGTTTATGTAGAATTTCAAATAGTTTTTTGTCAAATTCGATATTCCTTCGTATTCTCCAAGGTATAACCAAACATTTAAAAACCCATTTTTCCACTGTTGCTTTTCCTTTTCCTTTCCATGTCGTTTTCCGGTTCCAAACATGGCCTACCAATATAAAAACTTTGATGATAAATAAGCAGTAGTAAATTAAGATATTTACCTTTAATGCAACTGTAAGTTTTTCAGAAACAATACTTAGATTCGCCTCCTCCTCAGGGCAAGCTGATGCAGAATTTGAGATTTCTCTTAAGCACACGCTAAGTCGAAGACCTCTGTCCATGATTTGGCAAAGTAATGATCTTTCCTCAATCCTGTCACGTAAAAGCCAGAAAAAAAGGAGGTAAAACCAAAAACTCAAAAAGTTTATAAGGCATGCCAATAAAACCATACCCCCACAAAGCATGTTCAATAATAAATCTGTGGCAGCAAAAATGGCAGTCAAGATATATATTTTCAATGAAAAATGGGAGTTAACTCATTATTATTCTTACCATAAACAGAGATGATCAGCATCTGACAAAAGCTTGCTGAGCTTCTTCAATTCAAAACGCTTCCGTCCTTTTTTCTGTATGATGATGATGATGATGTGGAAGAACACCAATCAGAGCAGAAGTTGTATTGTTAAAATCACAGCAAAAATCACGTGGACAACCGAATAATGCTAAAGCATACCAGCAAGTTGCAAACATTTTTAGAGATTTTCCCACTTCTCGTGTATTGGCAATAGGGGCAATTAAATGGAACATTTTTTGTCTCCAAAGATGGTTGTCCAATACATCCCAAGTGGAAGCTGTGTAGAAGAATATCAGCTTTACAATACTTGACATTTAGAAGCAATTAACAAAAAATAATAATGGCATGTTGGAAGGAGGTAGCACAAGGGAGGTCAAGGTAATGACACCAACCTACCTCCCTTGATCATATTTGGGAGACAATGTAAGCGAGGACAACTGAGGTAAGAATTACCTCATAATACCAATTTTTTGTAACCTCCGAATCGGAGAGCAACTGAGGTAAGTTATTCTCCTAATACTCCGTATGTAATATTAGTATCCACCTCTAGTTACCTTCATCTACCTCCCTTAAAGGACCTCCTCCCAAAAATAAGGTTAAACTTACCAGTCATTGCAAGAAGAACAAGTCAAAAGCTTCTGTCTATTAGTAGCAGTGGAGCAGAATATACACATATCTTGTCTCTTGAAAGAGTTAGAGTTGTCGAAAATGAAAAATGATGTATCAAGAGCATTTCTTATCTGCAAAAAAATTGAGAATTTTCTATAAGACATCAAAAACAGAGCTCAGAAGATGGAACGAAGATATGAAACAAATAAATAATGGGGGGTTGAACCTCTAAAAGAGCACTAAGTAGCATGTTGGCATCACCAGAAGACCAAAACATATCAATGCAGCGATGCTTCCACTCATCTATTTTATGAACCTCAGAGATAACCATGTCCATTTCAGAACAGTTAAATGCATCCGTGCTTCCAAGTTCCTGAATGTGTTTTAAAGTCACTAGCCATTATATAACTACCCTTCATGATCAATACAAATGAGCATCAAAGACAGAAAAAAATACAATATGAACAACGGGTGGTTTAGTCCTTGTAGGGTTGTTAGTGTGTAGAAGTGTGCATTCTTATTTTCACTCATACTACAGGTCACTACTTGGAGTAGAGGAAAGGTATGGGTACATCTTGCCCCCCTAAACTCTACTATTAAGTGGGATATACTGGTTGCGGTTGATATGGTTTGGTTTATGGATCAAGACTTAAACTAAAGTAGGAAAAAATGATCAAATCAAAATGAGGGAAAACAAATATAGCTCGCTTAATAAGTATGGAAAGAAGAAATGATTTTGACATTAGATTGCAAGACGTGAAAGCACAAGTCTTGAACTAAAGAATGGTACCTTTAGCTGCAGTAACACGCCTAATGCCCGATCCTTCAAGTCAAGACTAAAAAATAATTGAACTTGCTCCAGCCACAAACTACAAACAATTATTAAAATACCAGTTAGAGCAAACTATAAATGAGAAACTTGCATGAAACTTAAGAATTTGGGAATATACTTATGTTTTGCAATAGCATTCTTGATTTGAGAGACTATCACAGGAGATGATATCTGAACACTCTGCAATTCAATTTTAAAATAGGGAAAACTTTAGTCTCGAACATGTGAGAGGGCCAAATTTACTGATAACAGATGCAAGTATAGGTTGCAAGTAGTGGCAAAAAGGTTAACACCATTCGCAGTGGACTAGAAAAAAAAGGTCTACCTGAGACTGTCTAAGCACATCCTCAGCATCCTTCAAACTGAATCTCCTGAGATTGGATTGAGCTGAAACTTCCAAGGCTTTCTTAAGCCAATTTACCCCACCCAACAGCACAGTGTACAACTTAGAAGATGCATATATAGTAGGAGAACGGCCAACAATTTCCAAAGTTTTTTCAATTTCCTACAAGAAATAAGCATAAGCTATAAATGGATCAACTGCCATATTACTATGAGCCAGAAGTAAAGCACGGAAAGGAGGAAACAACTTCACGAGCCAATATGTCTATCAAATATCTAGCTACCCATTGATTAGGAAAACAATCGATTACCTTAATGGAAGGACTACTGGCAGAGAAAGAAAGAACCTTGACACACCACTTCAGAGCTGAGCAGACACCTCGAAGCTTAGAAATCATATCCAGTTCAAAACCAAGAGAGTGACCGGCTTGTATGGCACGCTGTATTGATGAAATTTGATGTTCAAGTTTTGGGGTGAGAGTGCTTAAAATATTATCACCCATGACATCAACATTCAATAGGGTATCTGCATCGTTCAACAAAGAGCAGGCATCCAGTTCCCAACTTGTGCACTGATCGAGGAGTTTCTGAATGATAGGTTGTTCTTTTAAAGAGATCTTCAGATGCTTTGACTGGGATGATAACTCCTGCAAAAATTACATGAGTTTTGTAAACTATAGACTCAGTTCCTCTGTTCAAAAAATGTTCAGTAAGCAAAAAAATTGTTTTATAAGGTGATAATAAATTTGGTAAACATTGACAAACATACCCGTATTGATTTCTGTGAATTAGAAGTAACGAACAAAAATGTAATGAATATGAGTGCAACTTAGCTACTTTTTTAAACTGCTAAATGGCCAGTTATTTGTGAAAAAATTAGTTTTGATCAATAGACAGTTAAGTGATAATTTGTATGATTAATTCAAATCAAGGCGAATGGGGTCAACCTTCAAATCCTCAACTTTATGCAACAAGCATGAAGAAGCAAGTGCTGCTGGCGATTGGTTCGTTATAAAAGGTCTAGACTTGAGTAGCCAAGACTTGGCCTTGGAAACGGCATCATTAATATCATCAAGAGATGGTAGAATGACAACAAAACTTTCAGAAGCCCTGTCATCCAGTTTGAAATGTTATTTAGAAGTCTATCACAAGATTTAACAAGGGTTAAAAGCAGCAAGATTATTAAAGATACCTGATAGCATCCTCAAATTCAGATATATCCGCCTTAGTTCCAAGTAAGTTCTTTGCTCTTTCTTCCCAAGAAAGAGCAAGTGCATGCACCTTGGAAATATCAAGAAAAATGTTCTCCTTCTCAATCTCCAACCTGACATATATTAACGTATCAGGTTTGAAATCGGCAACGCTGTGAAGTGCATTGCTATTGAAGAGGTAAATATTAGGAGACATACATGCTAGCATCCACCAACAGCTGCTCTATAAAATCCATGGATGTTCTGCTATGAAGTGCCTGAATGAATGATTTGCACCTTTTGTAATTTAAGATAAGACACCACCACTATACATACTTGTTTAGAAGATAACTGAGTGTCATGGTTGTGAAAAAGAATTCCGTGAATAGACATACAACATAAGGTCCCACAAGTGAGGTCTGGAGAGGTTAGGTGTATGCAAACCTTACCCATATGTAGAAAGGTAGAGTAAGAAAGCTCGATAAATATATAAGGATTAGCAAAATGGATCAGATTTACCTCCAATGCTTTTGCCCGGCAGCTAGCTTTTCTCAGTTCAATTTCAATACAGGGCAGCTCCACAACTATTCGAAAAAACAAAGAAACAAATGAAATAAGATGTCGGCTCATCTCCTCAATATCCAGTACAGTATCAACAAAAAGAATGCACCAAGCATGTCCAAAATTCCACACCCTGAATTCTCAGACAAGATGCATCTTTCTGAAGACAAGTTAACTCATGAACAACACGGTCTTGATCTTCCCTTTCACTGATGTTTACTAGGATGTTCTTAAGACGGGATACCCAAGACAAAGCATCTTTATGATATTGTTTTAGAAGTTCAAGCTCCGGAATGTTAACCGTGAAAGCCTTCCATTCATTTATAATCAATTCGAGTTCCTGTACAAGACTTGAATCCGATTAGCATTCTACTTCATCAACTTTTTTCATAAAGAAACAATAATAAACACGATACATAATACCCAACCTTTAGGCTAATAGAACGTTCCAACATCTCTTTGCAATGAGAGCGGCACATTTCAACTTTTGCAACTAAATCTAATAAAATTTGAACTTCAGGGAGTTCAACTTGAAGGTCCGAAATCTGGTTACAGAATATTTGATATAATTAGTACAGTAGAATCAGGATCAAGTATGGCACCCAGAAAAAGGGACTCATGACTTTAGATGTCACCTCCTCCTGCAATTTATAGAGAACGTCTGCCTCGACTGCAGCAGAAGACTTTTCTGAGATGCATTTAATAGCAGCATCTTTCCAAGCCTGAAGGATTACAATGATATATTGCTAATTAGTCTAAGAATGAGAATAGACTAAACCTACTATTAAAGCCAAAGGAAAAAACAATATTCTCATTAGGACAACAAAACAACAACCCCCTTAAAATCCAACAGCCTGGAGTCTGGGGAGGGTCTAGGGAGGGTGTGTGTATGTAGGCTTTACCCCTGCTTGAAAAGTAGAGAGGTTGTTTCCAAGACACCCTTTCTAAAAACAAAAGAAACACTGAAAGCCATGTTAAGGGAACAGGAATGACAAAGGATAGTTGCATGAAAGAAGCAAACACACATGCAAAAACGACAAACCAAGACACAAAAGACTACCCTAACACCCTAATCCTAAACCTCCTCACACTCCTATAGAGTCATATCCTCCGTAAGATCCTGAAGCCATAAGTCAAGTCTAATCACCTTCTTCCAACTCTTCTTAAGTCTACCTCTACACTTCCTAATGTCCCCTGCCCCAAGCCTCTCACTGGGCATCCATACTTCTCCTCATTACATGCCCAACCCAACTCGCCCCTTCGATCTAGCTTTATATAGTTTGGGACAACAGTTATTCATATATATACCTTCACTGAAGACAGTATGCATATCAACTTCTCACTTTCTGTTGCATAGACAGGCGAATCAAGTACCTTAGATTGCAAATTCTCCAACTCAGCTACCTGAAAGAAATTAACAAATGACTATTGTCATGGCAGAAAAAAACTCATTAAAGAAAACATGCCAAACACTCAGACACATTACACAACAATATATTGATTGGAAAAGAGCTCACATAAGTACATTAAAGAGCATATCAAATCATAAACCACAACGATCTTTCTTACAGAAATCTTAGGACATAATGAAAGAACAGAACCAATTTCCTGAATCAGAACTCTTCCTTTTGTCTGGTAATCCTGCACCCAATTAAAAAGTGGTTAGAGAATAATAAAATCTTGACATCGAACTGAAGTGCTCACTCTATGACACCAATGAACTTTACCTTCAATTTGAGATATGCGGGATCAACACAATGGGCAGGACTTATACTTAACAAATGGTCAACAAGCTCCATCTGAACCTTTCCTGAATCATGGTCACCTTTACACGACCATGCCTCTAATCTAGAGATGCAATCCCTTACATTTTGAGCCCAATTCTGATATTCAACCAGCTTATTGGCCATTTCTCTGACCTAAACCCATTTGGGAATTGGGACAAATACAAATTTGTCTGATGACAAATAACCAGCAAGAACAGATGAGAAAAGAAATTCCAAAACAGAAAATTTAAGCTCACATGATCCATTTCATGACCAGCCCAAAGAAACTGTTCAGCCTCTTTCAGTGCATTAGCGTAAGCATCGCGCGAATATGAACCCTGTACAATCTTATCACACTTCAAAAGCCATTTGTCTGCAAGTTGCACATGGGTGAAAGAATGACCTTTGACCTACAAAAAAAAGAATGAACTTGAAGACATGAGTTGTACACAGAATATATTATATATGCAATAAACTAAGCTAGCATATTTGATATCTTTAAACCTTTATACAGATAATGCATAACTAGAAGTGTTTAATAAGGCATTTGATCAAATAATTTCCTGACTATAAATCCTATTAGTAGTAAGTAAAACCTTCTTTGAAAGTGCTGCTGAATCAGTGGAAGTGAGGAGCTGGTTTTGGATGCTTGTGGATGCATACTCAGAATTACACTTATTTGCAATGAGCACCAAATCACTCAGTTCTGCAAGAGTGTGACGATAGAGAATACGGTGTTTGTTGGGCTTGCATTCACAAAGGTGTTCCCAATGCTAAAAAAGAAAATATGTCAGTAACATTTTCACAAAAATAATTGAAGGCCTACGAGTTTCGTATGTTGGGTTTAACAAAGACTGGCTATTTCTTGATAGACTCAATAATGAAGATATTTCACTGCCAGGCAAATTAATGCATGTTTAAGAAATTAGTCAAGTAACTTAAGATATTACACACATTCACGAGAGACACAAGTTTCTTGCAGTTTACAGGCTAAAACCAATCATTCCACCGGGGATGGATGGGCTTTCCCAAGCTCACTCACCTCGAGGCAAACAAAAACTGATGGTCTACAGCTGCATGCTACAGCAGAAAGATACAAATATTGTTGGCATATAATGCATGTAGGATCCTGCAAAGAAGAGTGTGTAACATGTCAATAGTGTGCTTTAGCAACTCATAAAGCATGTGAACTAAAATAATCCTCCCTCCGTCCCTATACTCACTCCTGCTTTGACTTTACGCATACTTTAAGAAAACGGACTGTGCGGTTGATAATTATCCAAGGGAGGGAGCAATATTAACCACAAAATACCCTATTTACCTCCATAAAAGAAAGAGATAATTTTGGGACGAACAAAAAGAAAGAGTGAATACAAAATAGGTACGAAAGAAAATGTTTTAAATACCTCTTCGGTACTCACATACTGAGGCTGCTTACGAGGTGACATTGTTGAAGTGTTAACTATGCCATTCATCCAAAGCCGTTCTCTCCATGATTTTTCCTTATTATAGACCCTAAGCAGTTCCATTTTTAAGTATGGTGAGACCTTACTATCCAAATCACTCTGCAATAATACGGGAAAAATTTAAGTTTGGTGATGCAGCCGACACCTTAAAAAAGCACTGTGGAATTCAAAAAGGTCCAATCACACCTTGGCCACCACACAGAGAAGCTCTTCATGAGATAATACAGCAGCTTTGCGGTAAAGCTGGTAAAGTTCAGCACCAAAACCACCATGAGGTAGCCAATCTGCAGGTGCAAAATTGACAGCCTCCGCACAATTTAAACCTGCAAATTCAAATTGTAACTGCCTCTTAAAAATATTTTTGAATTAGTGTGTTAGATAAGCAATATATAAAGAAATTCAAGCCATTTAAGCCTGAAACTTTTGACAGTGACTAAGACCCTAAAACCATTACATTACAACAGTATGCATATATAATCATGTGCCTGATACCAAAGTTGAAGCCTGCATGGTAGGATCTGGGGAAGGTAATGATGAAGTCTCCAGGCTCCTGTAACAAGAAGATAATGCATTGGGATCAAGCAAGCACACAATCCCTTGATGTGCAATAACACCAGATTAGTGACACGTGTCAAAGTGGCGTTTACATCAAACTGATCTATGACATGGTACAACAATAACAAACCCAGTAAAATCCCAAAGAGTAGGGTCTGTGGAGGGCGAGTGTACACAGAACTTACCCCTACATTGGAAGTAGAGAGGCCGTTTCTAAGAGACTCCAACTCAAAACAAAAGAAACACAATAAGAGAGCTAAAGAAAAATGGCATAATCTATTGTTTAATTTATTCTAAAATGTGATATACAATGATATCAATGCAACAACATAAAGAAATTATAGATTTCCATTAAGAATCCTAAAAAGTGATACTACCTCTGTCCCAAAAACAAAGGTTTCACATTCCCTTTTCTGTTTGTCCCAAAATAAAGTTCCGGTTTCCTTTTAAAGAAATGATCATAAGGTTTACATCATTTCTCTGTAGGCATAACTCTCAACCACTCCATTTCACCTTTCTTATTAATCGTGCCCATTCAAATGTGGAACCTTAATTGGGACAAAGGAAGTGTAAAGTTACAATGTTTCTAAAAAATGTAAGCTTGGGCTGCGTGACTTACACACCCACCCCCTAGGACACAGAGAGAGTTGCAAGATAAGAAGATAATGATAATTAACAAAATTTCATAAAGTTCACCAACAACTAGCCTACCTGCAAGACACTGTAAACAGGGACTCCATTTTCTTGCAAGACACGTGGGTTCAACATGGTTACGAGCTGAAACAACAAATCAGGCTGTGTTTCAAATAGATCAGGGAGACTTTTTCGCATAACCTGCATGGACATGAATTTCACATTAATAGATTACAATGACATGCATAATCCTTTTTGGTAGATCTGAGAAATACGTGAGGTGAAAGTGTGAAACAGTGAAACTACAAAAATACCTTCTCGAATGCAAGGACTTCACTACCAGGAACACTATACCAACATTTTGGATCTCCCCTGAAAATGAAATACTAACCATGACTACAATGTTTAACTCATTAAAACATAATTCCAAACAGATATCTGCATATAACTAGATAAGTCAGATCAAAATAAATGGCTTTGTATCTATATTCATGTGCTCATAATACATGCCTTGAAAGTGCATGAATGATACGAAAAAGCAATTCCAGTTTTCAAGCAAACCTATCCAAACCTATTATTTATTTGTAACACCTAACACCAAAAGGAATAGTTTCACTTTGCAACGAAAGCAAGAAGTCAAAAACCAAAGATAAAAGGTGATGGGAAGAACGGGGGG